TTCTCTTCCTAATTATCTATTCCCCACTCCCGAATTTACAGTCTTAACACATTTTCTTTGCTTGAACCGTGCCCTCCTCCAAAACAATAGATTTCCTCTTGGTCAATACCAGTGCACGCCCCTGTCGAGCCTGTCAATGGGTTTCAGGGCATCTTTTCATATCCCTAAGAGCTGATCAACATTCCTTCTTCAAAGCAGGACTCAACCTCTGGGCTGGTCATGGCTTCTCAGGAGGGCAGGCAATTCGCTGAGACACTGATTCTTCTGCAGCTTTGACTGTGCCTGCCTCCTTCCTGCCCCTCCAGGAGACTCCATCTCTACCTCTCAGCCTGGGGACACCATGGCCCCATGGACAGAGGCCTAGCCATTACCTAGAGAAGTGTGAGCGAACCGTATTTCCACAGTGGCACGTTCATTCATTTGCTCCCTCTCTCCCTCTCTCCAGTGTTAGTTGTGAGCTGGCTGACACACAGGTACTGGGGTGCAGGGATGAAAGGCAGGAGAGGGCGGGGAAAGCAGCCTCAGAAGCTCCACAGCCTCTGGTTCCAATCCCAGCTCTGCCATTTTCTCATTTGTAACTTTGGGTGAGTTTCCAAGCTTCTGCCCTGTCTCCCAGCACCTGCCTCATGGGTTGTGGAGGGAATGAAGGGTGCAGGGAAGAGGGACAGCTGTCCTGGGAGGGCTCGGCACCTGTGACCTGTCCTGGTCCGCGATGACTCACAGCCCCAGCCTGGACTTCAGCCTTAGGGTTGCCAGGAAGGCGAGTGTTGAGTGGGGCACTGGGTCACACCTATGTCGGGGAAGATCAGGAGCCTGGATACCCAGAAGGCATCATGCCTTGCTCTGCCCAGTTCTCTTGGACTGGGACTTCCCTCCTCTTGGGCTCCAGGCTTCAGGCTTGGACTCGCCTGCGCCTCCTGCCTCCTGCAGCCACCCTGCAGCTCCCAGAGATCTCCCACCCTTCTCTAAAGAAGGGCCTCTTCTTAGATGCCCTCCAGTCCCCCTGCGCCTTTCTGCACTGGCCCATACATTTACATTTAAAATATCTATGTGACAATTTGGTTAATGTCCTGCCTCATGTCACTTGAAGCCCCATGAGGACAGGGACTGTGTGTGCACCGTCGTATCCTGGGTGTTCTCGGAGCCAGGTATCAAGGCCAGGCTTGAGAAATCTTTTTTGCATAAATAAATGAGTTTCTGGCTGAGAAAGAGAAACACAGAGAGATTGACAAAAAGAGAGAACTCCAAGGGGCCTCATTCCTGGGGTATAGACACGGGGGCCTGGCAGTGGGTCCAGATGTCTGGGCCTGAGGACCACCTGGCTCGGGCTAAGAATTTGGGTCTTTCTCCCGAGGGCCCTGGGATACCTCCGAAGGGTATCTCAGGGCTGCGGGGGGCTTCCGATTTGCATTTTAGGAAGATCAGCCAGCAGCTGTGTGGAGAGTGGATTTATAGCCAGGCTTCTTTGTTCAAATCCCCAGAATTATTTTCTTCTTCTTCTTCTTCTTTTTTTTTTTTTATAGGATTCTGCTTGTTAGGAACAGAGCCATGAGCTGATTATTTCTTCCTAACTCACTTTGTGACCGTGGGCGAGTCCCACTTCTCAGCAGAAAGCAGGCGACAGCCTCTGGCTGTTCCAGCTGCACAGCTGTGGTCTCCCAAGACATCTGCTCCTCCCCCAGGGAGGCCTCGCCTGCCCCCCTCACAGCCACCGGCCATGGATGAGGGTCATCTCTGCACCGAGCTTGCCGCACTGGTGGGTCTTCATGCTGGTGCGGCTGCAGGACAAGGTCGAGCCGGGGGTGCGCGGACACCTCCCTTTGCCAATGACTCCCACACAGTCAACGAGAAATCCATTGGGGAATGCTTGGTGTTGGTCCCCGAGACTGCAGCTGTTGTTCCTTACTAACTCCAGCGTCCCTCCCTAGGCACCTCCACCCGCTCCCACTCTACCCTCCCTGTGGGGGCTTGGGGACGATGGTGGCCATCCAAAGCCACAGGCAGCCTGCCTCCTCCACACACGGGCGCCCACCTGCCCCTCTGCACACTGGGGCTATTGGGGGGGGGGCTCCTGGTGATGTTTTAAGTGAGGCTGACAGAAAAACCCCACCCCACTTTCCAGTGCTGCCAAAATCAGCTCTCCCGCTAGGTTTATAAAGTTTACCTGACTTTCCTTCTGCCACCCAGGAGGGGCCTTCCCTGTATTTGAAGAAAACACCTCCCCCTTTAAAAAAAAAATTGTTTCTCTGAGAAGCAGATGAAAGTTTTGGCTAGAAATCCAGAGGGCTGGGGTGGCAGGCGTGTACATTCAATCATGGTTTATTGCCCTAAGGAAAACATACTTCGGTTATGAAGTATTCCCCCTTGAAATCTCACTTGACATTCTGTAAAGAAAGAGTAATGTTTTTAAGAAGTTGTCGGAGCCACCTAATACCTTCCCTCCAAAGCAAAGCCTGTCTGAAAGATTGATATTGAGCTGCAGATAGTCAGTCACCATAATTGTACTTATTCCGGCGTGTTCCTCTGCCCATGGCGTCGGGGTGCTGGGAGCCACAGGAGAGCTCCAGGCGGAGTGCCCGGGGGCCGGGGCTGCCAGCTTACTTCCACAAAAGGCTGCCCACCTTGGCCCTGGGCATCCAGTCCCAGACCCAGACACGCAGCACCAACAAATTTCCACTGATGACCTTTTTAAACTCTCTCCTAAGCAGAGGATGGAGCAGGGCTGTTTTGGGGGTCTGTGGACATTTATTAATGAAATTAAGGATGATTTTCAAGAACCCTCTACTGCTTACACCACTGCCCTCCTGCCATCACGTAAGCTGGTTTTCCTGGGCAGCTCTACCCACCGGGTTGTGTCCCTTTAACTGGAGAAAAAGGGAAGTTTGGGGGATTAGGGGCCCCCCAACTTTAGAACAACGTCTTCCTGCTCTCGTGTGTGCTGGTTAACGTGAAGTGTCTGCACGTGGGGCCTGGCCCACTCAGTGTGGATGAAACTCCCTCCCTCCTGCAAGGTCTCGTAGTAGCCTTGCAGGCGTGGCTGGTGTGGCAGTGGGTTTCAAGGCTGCCAAAGCCTAAAATTGTTACTTCTGACAACCCCCTGTGGGTGCCTTGGTGGCCTTAGGACACTTGCCTCATAACTGGAAGCATGGGGGCAAGTCAGAGTTGCCATTTGGCTTCCTTTACTTTCTGTGCATGTGGCTGGTTGTGCTAAACAGGCCCCGAACTCCGACTGGGGGCCTCCCGGGACCTCGGCTCGAGGATCAGGGGCTGGCTATGGAGAGATGTGAGGCCCACCCTCCCCTCACCTAGGGGAGAAAAACAAAGGCCCAGGTGAAATGATCAGAACCACAAACGTTATGAAAACGTGAATGTCTTCATCTGGAGAGGAGCCGGTGGTGCAAAGATCCCACCACCACGAGGCCAGCCCCTCGAGGGCTCACTGACCTGCCATGGGCTGGACGTTGATTAACTTCATCCGGGGTTTCCCTTTGGTGTCTGAGGGCAGCTTCTGGCCCGGATAAAGCCTGCGTTCACCACGTGACCTTTAAGGGAAGGCAATGCTGTGTTCCTGCTGGGGTCCCCGAAATAATAAATCACCGGAGGCCCAGTGAGAGATGAGGCCACTCGAGGAGGCAGACAAAGGACGGAAAGGGACAGTAAATCTCACTTCCAGGGAGCAGTCATTTTTTTTCCTTTGCAGTAATTTTTGTGAAATGTCATTATGGTCCAATAATACAAATATTGACATCTGGAATTCTGCAATCGACATCCCTGCCTGTTGTGTTTAGAAATGGAGCGCTTGGCAGGCGTACTTTCTTTCCCGTTCATGGGCAGGGACCAAGGTGTTCAGGGGAGGGCGGGAGGGGAGAGAGCTCTGCCATCTGTGCCGTTAGTTCATGGATGGTACCCTCATTCTTGAGGCCCCAAGGATGCAAGTCATCAGTCAGACTCCGGCCTCCTGCCCCGCTGGCCTCTGACAGTCCAGGGAACCAGGCATTTACAACTCAAGCCCACGGAGGTGTGGAAAGAACTCTCAGAACCAACGTGGCTTGAAAAGCATCGAGAAAGAAGGTCGATTTGGTCAAGTCTTCCCACTTACCCTTTGTGTTTCTGTCCTGGGCTAAACGTATGAATTCTAGACCATCAGATTGAGGATGATTTTCTTTTTTTTTTCTTCTCAAATTAAGGTCCAGAGGGAAGGAAGCTCAGCTCACTGAGAGGCTGAACTGGTTGGGATGTGCCCCTGTTTCCGCGACTCTCACTGCCCTCCTTGGAAATTCTCTTTTCTGTGTGTTTGGGGGCTTCATTAACTCTAAGCTTTCTAAACCCTTTCCATGCCATCAGAGGAAAACATGCATTCCCCCACCACAGATCCGAGCTCTGGAGAATGCAGAGTTTGTCCATTTTCCTCATTCGATGAACAAAGAAACATTAAACTCAAAAAGACAAAAGTAGAATGTCCAAAAAATTGTAGGGGAAACGACTCGGGCATTTTCCTCCAGAGCTGTCAGAAGCAAAGATCCTCTCCTGGGAGAAAGAAAAAGAGCTTCAAAGTCCTCCAAGATGTGATTAATCCCTGTGGTTATTAATTTTTAACTTTTGGTAGTTTTTATTACCCAAGCTTGTACATTCTACCTCAAAGGCTCTGAGACAAGAAAGACGGCTCAGAAGAGTTTTGCTACCAGCTTAAAAACAAAATCCTACAGTTTCAGGATTCACGGCTGTGCCTCTGCTGTCATGCACCCGGAGTCTGCAGTGAAGAAAAGCACCAGGTGTCCTAAGAATGCTACGGCGGCTGCCTTCAAACCAAAGACCTGCCCGGCTTTAATGACCAGATGTTTATCTAGCCAGAATTCATTTTGATGTGTACTTTACAAGCCACTGGTCAAGACAGAAAAGTAGTTTAAGCCCAAAAGTAATCGCAAAGGTCAGAAATCCAGCAGTTTGTAAGTCTGCAGAATGTTATGCCTTGGGGATAACAAATCTTTATTTTTCTTTAGATAATGTAAATTGGACAGAAGTCACAAAGAGGGAAGTCACAAAAACGGCTACGACCACGTCCCTGCAACACGGAAACTCACAGCCACCCACAGACCATCAGGAGGAATGCCGGTGGTGAGGCCTTGCAAACCCAGGGAGCTGGGCTGGGAGTGCCCGCTGGGGTCAGGCACCTTGTTCTTACTGACTTCATAACCTTTTCCCACTTGACATCTTTACTGAGCACTCGTGAGGAGGCCCCATCTGCCTCCGCTCCTAGCACATTCATCTTTGGATGCTTGCATTTTTTGCAGGGGCAGTTACATTTTTCCGTTTTCTAGCCGGGAATGGAATGTTGATATGTGTGATTGTTTTATTTATTTTATACGTTTTCCTTGGAATGTCTACGTGTGGCCGCTGCCCTGGCTTGGCAGCCTCTTGATTTATGGTAGTTATAAACATTCCAAAGTAGATATGTCAGTTAAGTGATACCATAACATTATACAGTTACAATTCTGTTATAAATGTGCTCCGAGTTTAAAAAAAAAAAAAAAACATTTTCAGCTCCCCTCATCCACCCATTCCTTCCTGCTACGTACACATGATGGCTTTGGAAGTTACTAGTTCAATGGAAAGACGACGGAAGACCTAAGGTTTAATCATAGCCTCGCCACCACCCCCCAGCCCCACCTTCTGGAAAAAACACTTCTTTTTTTTTTTGAGATGTCACCCAGGCTGGAGTGCAGTGGCACAATCTCAGCTCACTGCAACCTCCACCTCCTGGGTTCCAGCAATTCTCCTGCCACAGCCTCTTGAGTAGCTGGGTTTATAGGCACCCACCACCACACCCGGCTAATTTTTGCATTTTTAGTAGAGACGGGGTTTCACCATGTTGTCCAGGCTGGTCTTGAACTCCTGACCTCAGGTTATCTGCCGCCTACCTCGGCCTCCCAAAGGGCTGGGATTTACAGGTGTGAGCCACCGCACCTGGGAGGAAAAAACATTTCTAAGAAGCAAGTTGGCATCCGGAAGCAACATGCTCCTCTCGAGAACACATTTGAACTTTCTTCCTACTGAAAAGCACCTTTATTCACATCATCCGTGTATTCCCAGGAGAACGTGGTTCCAAGATGGTGGCCACTGAGTAACTCTGGGAGGCGACCTGTCTCTCAACCCCCCTGGCCGGCTGCCTTTCCTGCCCACCAACAGAGAAAGTGGTTTGTGCTTCCTACGAGATGCTGAGAGAGGGAAGCAAGAAAACATCTCCATGGACATAGCAATTTGGAGAGCTTAACCTTCAATTAGAAAACCTGCTTCAGCATCCTCCCCAGGAGCAATGTCAGGGAGGAATTCCTTACACGCCTTCTCGCAGAAGACACTGGGACCTGGCCTACTTTAACTGTCCACTTCTAACCCTTGGGCGTGTACAAACCTGGCAACTGATATTTGAGGTAAAATGTATACCTCAAGAATTTTCATTCTCTGTGCTCTCTAGAGCAGGGGTTGGCCGGGGCTTGTTTTTGTAAATAAAGTTTTGTTGGAATGTAGCACGCGCATTAGTTTTTGTAAATAAAGTTTTATTGGAACGCAGTCTTGCCCATGGCTGCTTCTGTGGGACAAGGGAAGGGTCTGATAGTTACAACAGAGACTGTGTGGCCTACAAAGCCCAACATGTTTACTGTTTGGTCTTTCACAGGAAAAGTGTGCTGGCTCCTGTCCTAGATCAACTCAGAAAGTAAAACACGTGGGATGTGCCTGGCCCATCCGTCAGTGTGAGACCTGCAGTGACCACTTCCGCCGGCTGCACAAACCTGGAGAGAGGCTGCGGTGCCCCAACTGTAAGTTTTCTCATCAGCAAACTGGAAAGAGAAAGACCAGCGTGGAGGCTGGTTACAAGGATGAAATTAATATGTCCTTAAATACGTGTATAAGACCGCAGCACAAACAGCAGTCACAGCGTGGGTAGGGGAGGCGCTGCTAGGAGCCTCACGTGACCATGTCCTCATGTTATCTTCCAACGAGCCTGGGAGGCAGGTACTGCTGTGGCCTCTGCATTACACAGAAGCAAACTGAGGCTCACAGTGGCCGCTCACCATCTGCCGGAGCTCCTCTTCACTCTCAACAGAAGGCGCTTGAGCTCCCTGCTGATGGATGGTATGCCAGATTTTCCATGTAACTTTCTTTGATGCATCGTGGGTGTGGTGTTGCCCCTTTGGAGAGTTTTAAGGACTCTTTATTAACTAGCAAGGGTTCTTGTGCCCTTAAGGAGTGATTGAGAGGTGCCTGTAAGGCCAGTGGAGGCTGGGAGGCCTGCCTCTTCCAGCCCAGAGGCCTTGCGTCTTGGAACTGGTGTGGGTCACTCACTCCACAGTTCCTCTGAACTATTTTCATGACAATAAGCTGCTTCCTCAAGAAATAGCAGGGATTTTGCCCCTCAGGTAAGGTGCCTGGGGAGAGAAGGCTCTGTCAGGATCCAAGCAGGAAACCTGAGTTCATGTCTGCTCTTCACCTGAGCACGGCCAAGTCCGTTTGAGCCCTTCCCCAAGTCAAAATCGCCCACTTATCTCCATCTTCACCTCCTCCCAGCTGACCACCTTCTCTTCCTTGGATGACCGCACTAGCTTTCTAACCAGTTTCCCTAAAACCCGTTCATTTATCTATTCCTTCTACCATCCCTCCCACCATCCATCCGTCGCACCACCCACCATCCCGCCACTTATCTCTCCTTCCCTCCCTCATTCCCTTTCTCCGTCTATCTCCCCGTCCACCCACCCACCCACTAATATGTATTTCCTGGTTAAAATGTCCCAAGCACTGTGTCGGTCCTGGTGTAAGTGGAAAAGGAAACAGCTTTCCTGCCCTCAAACAAAACAATGCATTTCAAAGTAAGAAGCCCCATGAGGGAAGAAGAGAAGGCTGTCTTGAAAGAGGATGACATCAGGAGGCATACATGGAGAGGGCTCGAAGGAGGGGCTGAGCCTCGCCAGGAGCTGATGTGCTGACAGAGAGACTGTAATTTATTGATCAAACTGGGGCACTTTGGGGAGTGAGAGGAGGAGCTATTAAACATTTTGTCAGGGCACCAGCTGCATGGCAGGACTGGCCAGGTAAACTGAGGGGCATGGCCTCCTCCTACAAGCCAAGATTCAGAGCATGAGCTGAGAAAGGGGTGAGGAGGAGAGAAATGCCCCTTCCTTTCCTTGGGGAGAGGTTGCAAACATGCATTTTAAAAGAACTAGGAGAAGGCCGGGCGCGGTGGCTCACACCTGTAATCCCAGCACTTTGGGAGGCCGAAGCAGGCAGATCAGAAGGTCAGGAGTTCAAGACCAGCCTGGCCAATATGGGAAACCCCGTCTCTACTAAAAAAAAAAAAAAAAAAAAAAAAAAAAATTAAAAATGAGCAGGCATACTAGAGCACACCTGTAGTCCTAGCGACTTGGGAGGCTGAGGCAGGAGAATTGCTTGAACCCTGGAGGCAGAGGTTGCAGTGAGCTGAGGTCGCACCACGGCACTCTAGCCTGGGTGACAGAGCAAGACTCTGTCTCAAAGAAACGAAAACAAAAACCAGGAGAGAAAGGCAAGAGAAAAAAAAGAGGATGGAGTGCAAGAGTGGGTTTTGGGGGTGAAAGTTCAGCAAATAAGAGTCTCTGAGGGAAACGTGAGGTGGCAGAGCTGGGGAGAGGAAATATTGTGTAGGAAACGCTTTTCTGTGTTGTGAACTGGGGCTCCCTTGGATGCTGCCTTTACTGTCATCTGTCCGAAGGCGCAAGTGAGTGAGTGCTGCACCCTTTGCTTTCTCTAAGGCGGGCTTGCTGTACGGGATGTGCATCTTGGAATAAGTCTCTGGATCCTGGAACACCAGGTTCTGCCATCACAACGTTTGTCACGCACGGACCGCCCGGCATGAACAGGACCTTAGCTGTGACTGTCTGTGCTCCGTCGCTCAGCTGAGAGCTTTCTGAGGGCAGGGCCTCTGTCTGCTTGTCTCTGGTCTCAGCACCTAGCACAGGCTAGCATTTAGTCTGTGCTCCACAGCTGTGCAGCGTAGGGACGCGTTCGCGGGCTCCGGCGTGATTAATGTCCTTCACAAGGCGCCCTGAAGGAGCCATCCTCCCAGCTTCATTTCACATCCTGCTCCTGCAGAAATGGAGCAGCTGCTCCGCTTGGGTTATTTCGTGTCGGAGTTTCATCTCCCCCTGCGCCAGGCTGCCCTCGTCTCTACCTCCATCAACTCTCCAGCGCCGTCCAAGGAGCCTCATGAAACCAGATATCTGCAGCTGGCTTGTGTGACCCGTGGATGGGCGTTGAGCTTCACGCCTCACTGCCTTACAGTCTGGCCTCTTCGTCAGCATCGGCGGGACAGGCAGGGTCTCCAAGAAGAGCCCCAAGCTCCCAGAGGCCCTGCCAGGCAGTTCAGTTCTGCACTGGTTCCCTCAGGGGTCAAGGGAATCATGGCCAGCGTGGGTCACAGTTACAGGCTGGGGGGTCTCAACCTCTGCTCTTCCTCTGGCCAGCTCTGTGATTCGGAGTGAGTTATATAGACTCCAGCCTGAGTCCTTCTGTAAAATGGAGACAACCCAGCACTGAACCCCGTGTGGTAGGCACTGGACATGCCAAGCTTTATTGCCACCAGGATTTGATGAAAGGCCGCTTGGCCTGTGGGAGGACACAGCACTGGCTGGGGAACAAGGCTCTGTGGACACCTGACACCCTGGGGGCTGTTGTGGGGAGTGATGCTCTTTTCTCTCTTTCTGTCTTCAAAGGTAGGGGAAGTTGCCCATCTGGGCCAGGCGGCGGGGCCTCGCTGCCCCTGTGCTAGCTCAGCTTGCCAGCTAGCAAAGGCTGCACAAGCAAGCCACGACGTTCACAGAGTCTGCCATGTGCGTTCTGAGGCTGTGCTGAAATACTAATGCCAGCTGTCACTCCCTCCCAGAGACCTGGTAATGAGGGCTGGCACCATGTCCCCAACATGATTGAAATGGGCGTTGTTTATGCACTCTCAGGGCAGATGAGACGTGCATTTAAAGTGGTCCAGCGCATTTGGGGAAAGGAAGATGCAGTTTCTTGGACAGGAGACGTTTCTAGGGACCTGGCCCTGAGTCTGATGAGGTGGCGGGGCTGGGGGCGGGGATTGTTGGTGAGGGGTCACGTTTACAGGTGCCCAGCTCCTTGCTTGAGGACACAGTCTTAGGAGAAGCCAGACAGCACGGCTGCAGCAATCCATCCCTTCCTTCACCCCGTGTGCTGAGCACTGCCCACGCACCCAGCCTCATGTGCCCCCCATTCCGGGAATGGTGGGCCTGAATCAGAGGCCAGGCAGGAGTGGGTGGCAGCATTTGAGATCTGATTAAAGGTATGCAGATATGAGCAGGGCTTAGGAAAAGCAATGAAGGGATGGTGCAGTCCGGGAGGGCTGATCGGAGCGGGAGCCGTTCCCACTCCAGGGGCGTAAGACAGGGATGGAGCGTGTCCAGAGCCCTGGGGGGCAGCTCCAGGGGAGGAGTGCTTGGAGGGCTGCAGCTTTACCAAAGCGACCCAGAGCCAGTGCCACCTGGCCAGAAGAGCGCCAGGAGAGTAAAAAACCCCCCAGGTCTCCTGCAGGTGCCTCTACTGGCCAGAGGGTACAGGGGCCTGCTAATTGTATGGAGTGGCCTCCTGGGGCCCAGAGAAAGTAGGAAGCGTGGACATGGATGTGAGGGGCCGCGGGTCACACCCGGCACAGAGCTGCTCCGGTGGGGTTTCCAGCATCTGGTGTAGGGGCTGCAAACTCAGGGACCTAAAGGGGCCAGGCAAGTAGTTAATATAAATGAGGGGCGCCAGACAGGTGTATGAGGTTAGCGAAGGGTGGGGAGTGTGGCAAACTAGATTGCTCATGCCAGGAGAGAAAGTGGCCCAGAATCACCAGATCTTCCCATTTTTTAAGGCAAAAGCTGAAAATTGTTGTTGTTGTTTTAAATGAGCCCTCTCCTGATTTTAAATTTTAGCAGTGAAATCAAATTTCTGAAATGAAAACAATTTGCAGGTGAGACAAATGAAATTCGCCTGTGAGTGGGACTTCACTCCTGGGCCGCGACGTGATGGACGAGTGTGAGGCACCGCGCTGGACTCGCTCTCCGCGGCTGGGAGGCAGGGGGTGGGGGGCAAGGGCGCTCCGGGGCTGCAGGCTGAGCTCAACCTGCCTACTGTGCCCAGCGGCCTTCCGAGTGTTTCCGCCCCCCATCTGCTGTCTTTGAGCTCCCCCATGCTCTGTCACCGCACTGCGTTCTTCAGAGCATGCACCCCAATTTATGGTCATGCATTTCTTTACTCATTTATCTGCTCTTTCTCCCCTTTCCAAAGACCAGGCCCATGTCTGTTTCCTCCCTCGTCCCCAGAGCCAGGCAAATACAAAATGACAGATAGCTGTTTGTGCAGGAACTGCTGCTGAGCCCCCTCAGGAGGAGGCATTGTTATTCTTATCCCTGGTGGTGGTAGTAGCCGTCACCGTATTTTATACAGGAGGAAACAGAAGTACAGGGCGGATAAGGGACTTGGTTCAGATTGCACAGCCAGGAAGCACTGGAGTGGGGATTGAAACCCAGGACTGGCAGGTTCTTCAGACCCCTACTCTCAGCTCAAACACTGACTCCTCCCTACGAATCCCTCAGTTTGAATGTCGACCTCAACTCCTCCAAGAAGCGCCGCCTGACCGATCTGTCGGCTGGGTCAGTGGCCGTCCTGGGATCCTCTAGGCAGGCTCTGCCTCTCCATATTTCACTTTTCTGCTTCCCTGTCTTGTGCTCTGGGTTGTAAAGTTCACCTCGTAAGCAGAGAGCTGGTTTGTTCATGCTTCCTCTCC